AATTCGTGGTCTGGAATTTTATCGCGATCAAACGATACAATTCCTATGGCAACAAATCCAGATGTTCCATTTTTCACCGTTACTGAGATTTTTCACGCATTTCCTAACAACTCACCAAACTGGTAACGTGTAATTTTTCTTGTTGGATTATTTCTGATATAGTGTTGACGTCTCGAGTAAAAATTAGCCTTTAAAGATTTAAAAAAGCTCGGTCCAACGGCTGCAGAAAATGTGTGGTATGACTGGGTAAGCACAACATTATAATTTCGTTGTTTTCGGCGCATTCTAATACTTAAACTGCTGCTGTATGGGACGTATGTCTCTCTTATATCAGTACAACTTTGCCTTGAGGCTTTTCAGGAATAAATAGATTTTTTACCCAATGTAAAAAATATCTGCATTTACGTAGGCCGATTTTTCGGATGTTACAAACATTGCTTCATTGCTTTTCTATTTGTTCCTATAAAAATAGAATACGGAGGTAAAAATACGCCCTCAGCATTTCAGCAGCTTATCACATAAATCGTGTCTCCTTTCTCTCCTGATGTAATAACAGGGACATTCTTAGATTCTTTAGACGCGAGTACATGTTCAGGCCTGTTATTTAACTGCAAATCTGTCTTGTCTACGTTAAAAATATTCCTGGTTTAATCCTTTTGCCCTGTCCAAAGAAACTCCTTCACCTTTTCGCACTGATATATCTGGATGGCGCCGTAAAAAAGACTGCAACTAGTCAAAACCAGCTTTATTGTTGTTTCTATTGATTTGTGACTTGCATTAAATTTTTCTGCTAACTCAACTAACGTACATGGTCACGAGTGGGTGCAAAACCATACTTTTGCAATTTCTTAATATGCAGCACTAATTTTATCTCGATCTCATCCCCAAGAGTTGAAGAAGGTCGTTTTTGTAGATCATTATGTTTCATTCCTTTCTGTATGCTACTTCGAGGTATGCCATAAGCTAATGCAGCTCGATTAAGTCCCATGCGTTTTTCTCTGATAGCTGCAACCGCATTTTGTAGTGCTTCTTCGCTCCATGTAGCTTTCAACACTTTATTGTACTTTCAACAGTAGATTTCCATTTATAATATGAAGGCATACTGTAACCTGTAACAATATAGAAATTAATTATGAATACTTATTATTAAAAAAAATGTTGAATAATACAAATCCAATACTTATTATTAGCCCATCTATACCGATATACTGTGGCCCGTCTATCCCAAAGGTTCGGTACAGACGGGCCACGCCATCGAACACACAGTTTAAATTTTATAAGGTTATTTTAGGTTAGGTTCAGTTGTTTAATCTCAATATAATAGTTAAATACATAAATAATCAAAAAAACTTAACTTTTGTCAAAACTTACACAACTTGAAAATTCACCAAGGAAAAATTTCACCAACAACATATAATTAAGTAAAAAAATCTCCTTGTTTATGCATACACGTCGCAGTGACCACGTTCACAAGGTCTATCGTTGAATAAATGTTATAAATCGACGTTGTCGCACTGCACAGTAAACAGAGGATCTAAAATATGACGAATGGCCCGTCTATACCGATGGCCCATCTCTCCCGGACTTACCCTATTGGAAACGAAAATGGCTTGGCTATAAGAATCAATAAATTAAATAAAACTTAAAATATTGATAAATTCGCAATAACCCGATATAAAACTTGATAATGATATTCATCATCATCATCATCAGTGGCATTACAGCTCGTTATGAGCCAAAGACTTCTTCAGAGCAATGTTCCAGTTCCATTCGCCCCTGTTTCTGGCAACTCTTCTCCATTCTTTGGCTTAGATGGATTTTAGATCATCCTTTATGTTATTTTGATACCTAAGTTTTGGTCTTCCTCTGGCTCGTCTTCCCACTGGACCTCTTCGGTCGAAAATTTTTCTGATTTCATCTCGCCTAATTATATGTTCTATCCATCGAGGGTGTTCTAATTTAATTCATTTTACAACGTTAGGTTCCCCAAAACTTCTGTATAACTCAAATTTGTAGCGCCTACGCCACAAATCCTGTTCTTGGTGTCTTCCATATATTTTCCTTAAGAATGTTTCTCTCAATACGTTTAAGTAATTCTTGGTCATTCTGTGGAATTGACCACGTTTCTGACCCGTATGTTAACACCTTATTAGTGTTTTATATATGGTAATTTTAATTTTTCTGGGTAGTTTTGGGACCATCTGGTTCCTCAAGCCGTAATAGCACTTATTGGCAAGCACTATTCTTTGAATTTCTTCGCTGACATTGTTGTCATGGTTTGGTCAGCAGCGAACCCAGGTAGACGAAGGTGTCCACACCTTTCAGTTCCAGATCATCAGTTAATAGTCCAGGTATCTGGTTGCCTGATCTATACCCTGAATTCAATAGGATTGTCATGGCAGACATTTTGTAGTTCGTAAACACTCTATAGTAAGCGGCTATATATTTATTTATTTATTAGCACACAAATTTACTTCTCAATTATCATTTTTGCCGATTACATCTGCTGTAAGTCCGAAGTAGATAAAGAGTACTCGCCTTGTTGCGAAATTTATTATTTAGTACCGCGTGCAGATTATCAGTGTCGTTGAGGTATACCTAAAAGTCAAGAGAGGAACAGACGGACATTGTTACCCTTTTCGAAAGTAATATTCTTATTTCAATGCGGCAACTTTGTTAAAACTCGCTGACAAATAGTGAAAATTAATATTAAAATCAGGTAAATAGTCAGAAGTATTACATAAGCGTACTGTCATAAGCGCACTACATAATAAATCAGATAAAAGGAGGTGATTATCTGTGAAAAAAAAACAAATGATTAAATCGGTTTATGAGGGATTACGTAGAAGACGATATGTTTACAGAGGACTTCGCGGCATTGTATTGTGATTTAACGAAAATATCTGCTCGTACCGTTTTTCCGTTCGTAGTCTTTTTTTTTAGTTTTTTGATTGATTTCTTGAAGTGCTATAATGTCTGCTGAATATTCATTAAGCGTATTGCACAGACTTCTTAGTTTACCTGCACAGCGTACTCATATTCCAAGTAAATAAACCAATATCATGACCTTATCATTAACCTTATTTCGTTTGCCAAGTCGTCGACAAAAAATCAGTCCGGCTGATTGTTTTGAAGTTTCCGTAACAGAAGAATTTTTACAGGAGGGGGGTGTTAACCCACTGCCCAACCCCCAACCTGGAAGACCAGTTCACCCGCTCCTATCAGTTGCCGACCAAACCTTCCACCCGGGTTGGATATCGAATCTCCAGTTGGGTTGCTCGGTTTAACAGGGGACACCAACGTCAAGATGAGAGTCGGATTTGAGTAGAAGAGGCTAAGTGGAGTAAACTAAAATCAACATATTTTCGCATCCTACTCCTTTGTCCCCCTGATAATGATATTAGTGAATTAAATTCACTTCTTACCTGGTCTCTTGGGTTGCTCAAGTACTAGTATCTTCGAAGAAGTATAGATAGCGTTGCGAGAGACAGGAACAAGTTGGCTTAAAGATTTTTAATATAATTATCGCAGTGGACCAAAGGCAAGACGAATGGAAAAACTGTATCTTAGACTATATCTTCAGTCTTGACCTTCCAGGGGAGTCTAGTGCTCGTTGTGGTATCGTGTATGGTCCATTTCTATAGATCTTTTTCTCTGGTTATTTCTTTTAATTCGTGCATTGGTCTTTGCAAATTCTTGTGATTTGGTCAATCCAGTTTGCTGGAGATCTGCCTTGTGGTATTTGCATTTTATCTTTCTTTGAATGATGATTCTCTCTATATTTTCTGTCTGATCCCATATCCAAAGTATTTTAATTGTTTTAGTTGGAATTTACTGGAAAATCTTTTACTAATTTTAAGTTCTCTTAAATCAAATTATTTGTTCTATGGTTCGTCCACGCAATTCGTAACATTCTTCTCCAACAGATCATTTCAGTAGCGTCTATATTGCTCATTTCAGATTGTCTCAGTTTCCAAGGTTTGCATCCGTATGTTAGTATTGGGAATATTAAATAGTTCCTATTCCATTTGTAGGGTTATTGACATTTGGGTACATTTTGGTCATCTTTTGGTCATGATTTTGGTCATGAATTTGGTCTTTTCTATACAAACAAAAAGGATATATTTACAAATGTGGAAACTATAGGGCCATACAGCTGCTTATTTACATTATACAATATGGAAGAAAATAATTGATATATGGATACCAATTCTAATAATTTAGCTGCTCATCTGTTTCAAAATATAGATCTTAAATCTTCCAAACACTATAGTGTCTTTAAGTGAATGTTATAAAAGATATGTATCCCTAAGGATCTCATAAAAAATCTTTTTTGCAGGTGCATTCAAAATTAATTCCCTAACAACCATAAAAATACCCTAACAACCTTCTCCAGTGCATATACAGGCGAACTGTATGGAATTCTTCAGGCAATAAATCTGTATATCATTGATATTAAATCGGTATATGCACAGACCCACATGCATCCATTGAATCAATAAAATCAATATACACTTTACATCCGATCGTACAAGAAATGCATGATTCATATCAAAGACCTTTAACACAAGGTATAAGAGTTTCAATTATATGGGTACCCTCTCATGGCTACATCGAGGGAAACGAGAAAGCTGATATCACCGCAAAGGAAGCTGCATCATGCAACATAGTCACCAACAAAGTTCAAATTTTGAGCGACTTAAAGTTATTCTTAGGAGGTAAACGTGTAGGCATGGAGTTGGTTTCAGTTTACTCTACTTAGCCTTAATTACTCAAATCCGACTCTCACCTTCAAGCAGGTTCCCGTTGTGAAACCGAGCAACCCAACTGGAGATCGGACAAATAAGACAAACTTAAGTGGCCCTCTTAGGGCCCTAATATAATACGGTACGACTGTGCCCGGTAGAATGTGTACTTAGTTATTTTTCTAATCTATTTGCTTGGTTCTACTTATGTAGATATATTTATGCCAATAGTACATTTTGATTTGTTTGTTACAGATATCCGGTTGCAACTTAACGAGCAACTAAGATGTCTGGACGTACGGATGGAAGCACAAGTTGCGGTTCTGACAGAAATTCAAGACTTCTTTCGCAGAAGAGGGGAACTAGAATTAGATTACTCAAAAAATCTAGACAAATTAGCAAAGACGCTTCATTTTAGACATAAGGAACAAAAACAGAAGTAAGCATAAATATTCCATAAATTGCTGTTGAGATTATTAAAAGAATTAAACATTCTTAACCCTTTCAGACCTGACTTTTTCTCTGCAGAAAAAATATTTTTCTATTAATTGAAAATTGTAATAGGTTAAAATCATATTTTTGACATTTTTGTTTAACAGGTAGTCGTTTGACAGAATGTCCATTGCAATGGACATTGGGACTATTATACGAATTAATTAATATAATTAATATAATTAATACATTACACAAAACATTACATGTTTCACAAAAGACATATGTTTTCCCTTTACACCCAACATTTTTGCATCTGGATGCTTCCTTTTTGTTGTCATACTCGGGTAAATGATCTATTGTATCCATCCTTATTTTCTTCAATGGTCTAATTTCCACTCTGGGTCTTTTTGGAGTGTGGGGAGAATTCTCATTTGACATTTTGGGACGACCAATGCTTCTTCTTTTTTTAGTCAGAGTAGATGGAGAACTGACTCCCCTGTTTAACATCAACATGGGAGTAAGACAGGGAGATGCCCTATCAACCATGCTATTTAACCTAGTTCTTGAGGCAGTCATCAGAAAAACCAATATAACCGGCCATATAAACACCAAATCAGTACAAATTACTGCATATGTAGACGATGTAGCCATCATTAGTAGGAATAAGCCACGACTAATGGAAGTGTTCAAACAAATTGATCCTGAAGCGAGAAAAAGAGGTCTCAAAATAAACGAAGCAAAAACGAAGTATATGGCAGTCAAAAGAATAACTGACAATGAAAATAATATCAAACTAGACAACTATACTATCGAACGAGTGGATGCCTTTACATATCTCGGCACAGAAATCAATCAGAAGAACTCCGTAGGTAGCGAAATATTAATGCACGTATTTCCAGCGGGAATCGTACATACTATGCTAATAAAAGATTGATGACATCGAACTTATTAGACAAAAGAATCAAAATGACTATCTACAGAACACTGATTAGACCCGTAGTACCTATGGATGTGAAACTTGGGTAATGACGAAAAAAGATGAAGCCCAACTCAGGACATTCGAGAGAAAAATACTGAGGAAAGTATATGGCCCGGTACAAGAGGAAGATGGCACATGGAGAATCAGGAGAAACGACGAGGTTAATGAGTTAAATGAAGGTTATGACATTGTAAGATTTGTGAAAAGTCAAAGACTGTCATGGCTGGGATATGTGCAAAGACAAAATTATGCAAAAACAACAAAGAAAATGTTACAATGGAAGCCCATAGGAAGGCGAACAAAAGGAAGGCCCAGAACGAGATGGTTGGATGACGTGGAAGACGACCTGAAAACAATGAACATAAGACAATGGAGAAGAAGGGCACAAGAGAGATATGAATGGAAGGACATAGCCAGACAGGCAAAGACCCATCCAGGGTTATAATGCCAAAAGAAGAAGAAGAAGAATGCTTCTTTTTATTGATTTTCCCACTTTAATTAGCGCACCAGCAATTTGTATATTAAAATCTAACAAATCCATTTGGAGCATCCGTAGTATTAATGCTCATATAACGATTCATGCTATGGCGCCAGTAAGTCTTAAGTGGCTTGAATAGCTCCACGGCAAGTGGTTGCAATAGATGAGTGCAATGAGCTGGGAAAGTAAATAAGTAAACTTGATTATCTTTCGCTATTTTTAAAACTTCAGCTCCAATGTGGGCACAATGAGAGTCTATCGACAAGACTACATTACATTCAGATGGTATCGTAGATATAAAAAAAATTTACCATTCCAAAAACAATTCAGAATTGATCCATCCTTTAGGAGATAATTTTATTCATGCGTTGAGAAGGGCATCACTTTTAAGTGTATCATTCCGTCACCTTTAAAGATTACCATAGGAAGAATCCATGTTCCATCAGCACAAATGCATGCTAACATGGTTTGAGTTTGACCTCGTTCAGCGTAGGATCTTTTATAAACATACTTTTTACCAATGCCGATAACAACTTTGGAAGGTTTCACTACATACGATAATCCAGTCTCATCGCAATTCCAAATTAAATTCGGTTTGTTTTTTATATTGAGTTTCGTAAGAACATCATTCAGTTTCGAAAAGAAATCTTTGATCAGAAATTCATTAGCCATGGAAGCTCTGTAGGCCGAAAGATTTTCTGGCACACAAAGGCACAAGTTGTACCTACTTTTAAAACTATTCCACCACCATTTGCTTGCAATGCAGTTAGTTGACGGCAATAATTTCTCCCGACCATCCACTTTAGCAAGATCATAAGCATATTTTCAATTTGATACCCGGTTAGTCCAAAATCCAATTCTTGCATTTCTATAACATAATTGTAAAGCCTCAACTCTAAATCGCATGATAATGCAAAAGGCCTCCCCAGTTTTCTTACCGAATCCTCTTCATTCGCTAGGTAACGTTTCAAAGTGCTCCATGGGACTTCTACTTCCTTTGCAGCTTTATATAATAGTCTTACCTTCATTTCTTTTTAATCTGGCAACGTTTTGAACTTGCTGTTGATTATATTTTCTATATTTACCCTCTTTTTCCATTGCCAATCTAAAAGTAAAAATTAAATAGGTTATTTGGTGATATCGGAATGTTGTTTAGGTAATTTGGTGATAAAAAAAAGTTAGACAGCTTTTAAAAATAAAATGCATTTACGGATTCCTCAAAATAATACCTTTTGCATAGTATACTATACTTGTCTATTTTATTTTAAATAAAAGAACAAAATAAATCAAAAGTTAACGTTCCAAAATTTCTTGAAAAATGTGTGCAAAAACACTAAGAAACAACAACCGCAATTTAAGGAATAAAAACTTACCTTGGCTAAATCACAAATTCAATGCAGCTTTTTTTTTATTGATAATTAGTTTATAAAATGGTTTTATAATGAAAACAGCAATTATTTCAATAAAAGTGTAACTCAATAAGAAATGACTCCACTATCGCACAATGGTCAAAACAGTCTGTTTACTAAACGCAGGTGCGCGCATCGCTAAATCGGAATATATGTTTGTCCTGCTTACACTCGTAGCAACTTACTAGCGCTGTCTCATGAATGTACTTGCATAGGGAACTGTGTGGTAATCTGAATAAAAATTATCACCAAATTACTTGTATCATCAATATACCTTTCCTTACCGTACAACGTTTTCGGATACACTCAAAAAATGGTCTCACCTTGTACAAATTATCTGTACAATCGTTCGGTTTCTCTAGATTGTTAACAATGCAGTACTCCTACGCTTAAAAAAATATGTCTCTACTCATAACATTGCGGCAGACATCTATACTGAATACCTTATTCCAATACATTCTGATTCTTGGAAAATATAAACATCCCATGAGGATGGGCAACCCTACAAAACTTTCCATTTCACAACCCTGTCAGTTTGTTGCTTGAAAATGGTTGTTATTTTGGATGTTGTAGATATTGGTCATTTCGGCCATTTTATCAAAAAAAGTATGAGAAAATATTTTAAAAAGTAATTTATAGGATCCTTTGTTTCTCCTGTACCTGATGTTTCTAAAGTTGTTGTTACAGCTTTTTAATGACATTTCCTTATACTAAACTTGCGTTTGTTCCATCTCGTTTCTAGTTGTGGTTTGTTCTTTTTTTTTTGTAGATGATTTTAAATTCTTCTGTAAAGTATCAACAGGGTTGTATATTAATTCATCATCATCATTGGTGCTACAGCCCTATAAAAGAGCCTCGATCTTCCCAAGTCTATTATGCCAGTCAGTTCTATCCATTGCCAACTGTTGCCAGTTTGCTGCGCCTATTTTTTTACCATCCTCATCTACACCATCCCTCCATATGAGTTTTGGCCTAACCCTACGTGTACTTTCCACAGGTTGTGACATAAGGATTCTTCTAGGGTTGTTCGGTTGTGATTTTGCCAGATTCCTGATCATCTTAGTCTTCGTATTTTTATAAGAGATACTACGTCTTTACCACCAAATATATATTTATATCTGTGATATATCTCGTAGTTGTAACTCCTTCTCCAAACACCATTTTCACAGATGCCACCGAATATTCTTCTCAGGACCCTTCGTTCAAATATAAGCAGGAGGTTTTCATCTGCCTTGGAAATGGTCCATGTTTTCGATCCATATGTCTACACTGGTTGTATAAGGGTTTTGTATATGGTTATTTTTGTTTTTGGCTTAAGTTTCTGCTTCTCATATGTCTACTCAATCCAAAATAGAATGTTTGTTTGCTAGGATTATTCTTCGCTTGATTTCTTCCGTCATGACGTTCTCCTTGGTGATCAGGGAGCCTAAGTATGTGAATTTGGTCACCACTTCAAAGGTAGAGTTTTCTACAGTGAATTGGTGGCCGATGTTTCGGGTTTTATTGTTGGGTGTTGATGCCATTATCTTAGGTTTCTCCTCATTTACTTGCAGGCCCATATTTTTTGAGGCATTTGACAAGGTGGTATACATTTCTATTAGTTTGCGTGTTGTGCGGGCAACTAGGTCAACATAATCTGCATATCTTCGTTAGGAATGAAATATCTCCAATGTAAAAATATCCTAATTTTACAGGAGACACAAAAAACAGTTAAATAACGCTATTTTATACTGTATTAAATTAGTAATTGATTTTTTTGGCCAAACTAAGATTGATATTGATATTAAGGTGAAATTGATTTCCATTAAACTAATAAAAAAATATTACAAACGCGCACATTGGAGAAATTATAAATGATTGAACCGGTACATAGCAGGAATTTCAAATATTGTGTATGGCATGTCATAGTACTATACATCTTAAATTTGGTGTTATTAGGGAAAAAAGAGTAATATAAACAGTAAAGTGATTTATATTATCTTTATTTTAAATAAACAAACTTCGACATGTAGTATCAGTGTATGATATTTTTACGAACACCACCGAAAGTATTATTTTTTGTTGATTTTAGGAAGAGTATTGTAAAAGTGATGATGATCTTTTTCAATAACTGATTTGAGATCTTGCAGATGTTTGAA